ACTTCTGCCCCAGTCCCGTCCCCTCCCCGGCACTGAGCTCTAGACTTTGCCCCCCTCCGATTCACCCAGGTTGTGTCTCCACGAGCCCTGTGCACTCTGACATCAGCACCTTGTCACTTCCCATTTCCGTGTGCCCATGACCCCAGATTGCCGCGGGCCTGCTGAAGTCGGACGCTCAACCGACTGAGCCCCCCCAGGCGCCCCTCGGCCCATATTTTCTAACCGATATTAAAATTCCAGTACTCTCACACGGTCACGTGAACTGTCGGCGATCGCTTTGTGTCTGGCCCGGACACGTTGCCTTTTACACGGTTTAAATGCTCCACGATATTTGAATTACCACTCCCCTGTTTTGAGCTCCCAATTGTCCCTCAGTTTCTGGGCTTCCAATATGAGGTTTCCTTGCCCAAAATATCCAGCCTCTCCCCTCAAGTACTAATGGACAGCCTTTAGGGTTCAACTGTAAAAACAAATGGAATCATTTTGGGGGGTCCTTTTAACGTGTTGCTCAAGAATCAAATCATAGAGAGAGTCTCAGTGACCGGCTAGGGTCGCGTGCCCACCTTTGTCTGGAAGGCGGAAGAGATGACTTAGTACGCAGTCCCAGGAAATAGCACGCTATAGGAAAGAAATCGTCTCCCGAAGGAAAATCCAAGTCGCCACAACCATGGCGGCTGGGCAGGCAAAACTAACAAGACGTCCAGTAAACGGACTCTCAGCAGATCACACACGATGGCGGGAGAGACGACTATTTAGGGCAGCTTGGTCCTGTTCTGTGTTGGGCTGTCAGGGGTGGGGAGATACACGGAGACAGCGGACAGTGGCTTCTGAACGTCGTGGGACACGAGGACGTTCACGTTGGGGGAGACAATCGGAACTTAGCCACATGGGATAGCGGCAGCTCGAATTGGGAGAATACACGGATTAAGTTTTTACGCATCTCATTGTATCCTGGGAGTCTAGCACGGGAGGCAGTGATTAGCAAAACAGGGACAACTCTCACTGTCTGGAGTTCGCCAAATTCATTAATAACCGAACTTAACGTGTGACAGGTTTCACGTCTTCTGTCCGACTCTTGATCTCCGCAGCTCAGGTCTTGATCTCAGGGTCCTGAGTTGAAGCCCCACGTTGGGTTCCACACTGGGCATGATAAGACTACTTAAAAAAAAAGAAAAGTTATACAATGTACAGTTCAATGGCTTTTAGTATATTCGCGTATTTGTGCAGCCATCATCCTAATCAATAGTAGGATATTTCATGACCCCTGCACCCCTCACCCATCTCCCTCCAGCCCCCCTCCAGCCGGGTGGTTTTCCACTTTTTGGCTACTATGAATAAAGCTGCTGTGAACATTCAGGCACAACTTTCTGTGTATGTGTGGACACGTGTTTTCATCTTGCTCAGGTTGGGATTGCTGAGTCGTAGGGTAACTTCCTGTTTAACTGTGGGAGAAACTTCTAGACTGTTTCCCAAAGTGGCTGTACCATTTTACATTCTCGCCAGAACTGTAGGAGGGTTCCAATCTCTCCACTTCCTTGCCAAACTAAAGCTTTTTTTTTTTAAGGTTTTATTTATTTTTGAGAGAGAGAGATGGCACAAATAGGGGAGGGGCAGAGAGAGAGAGGAAGAATCCCAAGCAGGCTCCACACTGCCGTGCAGAGCCCAACGTGGGGCTCGAACTCATAAACCGTGAGATCATGACGTGAGCCGAAATCAAGAGTCAGACACTTAAGCGACCGAGCCCCCCAAGCATCTGATAACCTTTTCCTTTTTTAAGACATAACCTTAGTGTGTATGAAGTGGAATCTCATCATGGTTTTGGTTTGCATTTCCCTGATGGCAATGATGTCGACGATCTTTTCCTGTGTTTACCAGTCTACCTTCTTTGAAGAAGTATCTTTTCAGATCCTCTGCGCCTTTATAAAATTGGGCCTGTTGGGGCACCTGGGTGGCTCAGTCGGTTAAGCGTTTGACTTCAGCTCAGGTCACGATCTCACGGCCCGTGAGTTCGAGCCCTGCATCGGGCTCTGGGCTGATGGCTCAGAGCCTGGAGCCTGTTTCCGATTCTTTGTCTCCCTCTCTCTCTGCCCCTCCCCCGTTCATGCTCTGTCTCTCTCTGTCTCGAAAATAAAATAAAACGTTAAAATAAATAAATAAATAAATAAATAAAATAAAATTGGGCCTGTTGAAAAAATGAAAAAAAAAAAAAAAAAAAAAAAAAAAGCTGGGGGCCCTGGCTGGCTCAGCAGGTGAACCCTACAAGACCTTGATCTTGGGGTCGTGTATTTGCAAAATGTTTCTCCCATGCTGTGGACTGCCTTTTAACTTTCGTGACAATGGCTTTGAAGTACAAAGGTTTTTTTAATCTTTGATTTTTATCTTTTATTTTTAAGTAATCTCTACACCCAACACGGAGCTCGAACTCACGACCCCGAGATCGAGTCGCTCACTCCCCCCAACTGAGCCAGCCAGGTGCCCCATCAAAGGGTTTTTTTTTTTTTTTTTTGATCTTTAATCTTGACGATGTCATTGATCTTTTTCCCTTTGCTCCTTGTGTTTTGGTGTCCTAAGAAACAACTGCCTAATTCAAGCTCAGGAAGAGTTAAGCCTATGTTTTCTTCCAAGCATTTTTACAGTTCTGGCATTTATATTTAGATCTTTGATCCATTTTGGGTTCTCTTTTGTACATGGCGTGAGGTAGGGGTCCAAACTCAAACACCAATGGCCATTGATGTATGTGACGCAGCCTGAATACAAACCCCAAAGGAGGGGGTTTGGAAAGCTCCCACATGCCACCACACTGGCCCCAAACCCCACGGGGACAAAAACTCCTTCGTTTGGGACCTCGTCCTATGTATCTCTCCATCTGGCTGTTGATTCATACGTCCTTTGTAATAAACTGTTAGTCTAACGGTAAAAAGGTCTCCCAGGTTCCGAGAGCCACTGGAGCAAATTGAGCCCGAGGAGGGGGTCGTGGGAACCTGTGACTGACAGGCAGTTGGTCAGAAGCAGAGGCTAACCACCTGGGCTTGTGGCTGGCGTCTGACGAGGGGGCAGCCTCGTTGGACTGGTGAATGTGATGTTACCACGGCGTATATACGGTCAGAATTGAGTTGAGTTGTAGGAGACCCAGGTGGTGTCCAAAAGTTACTTGATGGTATGGGGACCCCCCCATCCCGTGCCGGCATACACGCACCGGAACCGAGTGCGGAACGTCTTACCTGGCCGCCCCTCATGTGGGGTCGGTAGTCGGAGGCAGGCTGACAACATCCCTCCGTCTTGCTAGTGTTCTCCCCACGACCCGTCTTGCGGCCACGTGTTCCGGGCCCCGTGGAGGTTAATACACATACCTTAGAAACGCCCACCCAGGTCAGGATCGGGGGAGGTCTGTTTCGGCCTCCCATGAATGGTAGGGATTAACGGTCTTTCCCCTTCCTGATGTACAGGTAGTGGCGCCATGTGATCTGATCAAAGTTTGGCGGTACATCAGGTGCACGTGAACCCTGTGACCTCGCCACAAGGCCCTACCGCTCGTCCCTTGCTCTGTAAAAGTCTGCGGACTGAGGGCCAGACGTGGCCGAGAAGAGCCGGGCAGCTGGATGGTTGGCCGCCCGATCCCGCGTCAGTAAGTTACCCCGAAGGAAACTGTTACCTGTGTGGGGTCACCTGCTGCTCTCTGGTCTCAGAGCCTTCTCGATCCGGGGACACTCTACCGCCCTTTCCCCACCTTGCAACGGTACCCATGTCTGCTCTTTACTTTCCATTAACACGGCGCCCAACTGTCTACCAGCTGCCTGGTGCCGCGGCAGCAGGACGGGGGTACCCAGCGGGCACGGGCCTGACGCCGAGGGGGAACACGTACTAGGAAAGCAGGGGAGGAGGCGTCCGAGGAAACCGAAGGTTGGGATTCGCGTAGAGGGGAGCAGGGAACGGGGGGAGACGGAGGCTGGATGGGAGGGGCCGGGAAGCAGAGTGGGTAAGCGTGGGTTATTATCCTGATTTACTTCTGACTCTTTGGGGGAGGAACTGAATTCTTAGAGGATGATGGGGCCAGGTGGGTGACTGCACCTGCCGAGACGCTACCGTGGCAAACGGTATGAGTAGCGGCCAATTGCAAAGCACTCACTCAACGTAACACGACTCCTGAGTTCTAAACGCCGTGGACTTCGCCCTTCTGTCCAGGTCACGTCTATATTTTAACAGCATTCAGACAAACCCTCTTACTGCACGTATGGGACCACCAGCTTTCAGGCACTGTCTCCTCAATAAATAGCCTCCCTCCTTCCGAGTATGAATATGCTGGTTTAATTAGGTGTATTAGTTTCCCGTGGCTACCGTAACGTGTAACAGACCCAGTGGCTTGAAACAACAGGGACACACTCCCTTCCGGTTCTGGAGGCCAGAAATCCAAAACAAGGGGGTCACACTCCCTCCGGAGGCTCCAGCGGGGGGTCCGGTCCCTGCCTCTGCCAGCCGGCGGTGGCTGCCGGCATCCCGGGCTTGTGGTCACATCACTCCCACCTGCCTCTGCGGTCACACTGCCTCCTCGTCTCGTCTCAAATCTCCCCGGGCCGTTCTCTAATAAACACACTGGTCGTTGGATTCGGGGCCCCGTGCAGATATTTCAGGACACTCCCCTCATCTCCAGATCCTTGATTATTCCTGCTAAAGACCTTTTCCGAATAAGGCACGGTCACAGGTCCCAGGAATCAGGACACGGACATGCCTCTGGGGAGAATCACCATCTAACCTTCTATACTAGGAGATTTTAAATAAACTACAAGCATGAAGCACCGGGCTGGCTCAGTCAGTGGAGCACACGACTCTTGACCTTGGGGTCAGGAGTTCAAGCCCCACGTTGGACATAGAGGTTACTTAGAAAAGAATAGCAATAATAAGCTACAAATGCAAAAATAGAAAATTTTCATTTGGGTAGAAGGTCATACTGAAAAAGGAAATATGTCATGACATTCTAGACAGCCAAAAAATCAAAAACCAAAGCCTTTAAAATATATGCATTTAATGTACAGGACTAGAAAAGACTCTTTGATAATACACATATTCCAGGTAAACACAGGCATCTTTAATCTATGAATATTTAATCGCAAACATTAATGCCCTGAGTTCCTCTTCCGTATAAAGGAGAAACTCCAAACCCTGTTCTTTAGGAAGACGTGGCAGGCAAGCAGCACTATTTATCCTCTTTCTCTGGGGACAGGACACTGTACATGGGTTACAGAAGAAAAGTATTAGACTCCACTAAATTTAAGCACAAGACACAGCTAAAATTTCCCACTGTGGGAACTAAATATTTGATGCTTAGGAGTGTGAATAAATAAGATAATTAAATATTAGGCACAGCGTGGATTCCAAAACGAACTGAAGTATGAGAAAAAAGTATACGAACACCTAGCGGTCATTTCATATAAGCCTTGCTCCTGGCTGCATCCGAGGCTTCCCTCTCTATTCCGGAGAGATCGGCCGGTTCTTCGTCCACGCACGGTCTTCCACGGCTGGGCTCCCAGACAGCAAACTGTTTCCCGTCACCGAAAGCCTGACCACGAAAGGATTTATTTTAGGAACAAAAACAACTTCTTTCCTCTTTACTCAAGATCACGGGTGTGTTTTCTGCTTGCTTCTGTCCCTTGGCTAACTTCCCCACGTGAGACACGGGGGTGGACACGGGCAGGCAGTCTGTGCTGGCTCTCTCCAGGGGCAGTGGCTGGGTAATAAGGAAGCCACCCACTTAACCCTTTTCTCACTTGATCGCATCCAAAGAGTGAGTCAAAAGGATCAAGGTTACACAGGACTCATGACCAAGGTGGAACATTCACAAACATCCCTGACGGGCCAAGCCGGCTCTGCCTCCTCAGTCGTGCCCCGCGGTGAGTTGTTACCGAACCAGGGACCCTTCCCACCTACTAGAGTCTCTGAGGGGCGGACAGATGCTCCAGAGATCAGCCCAGGCGGGTGTGGGGACACCTCAGGAGAGCGGGCCAAAAAAGAGGGGGCTGCGGAGTACAAGAGAGCGCGAACAAAGCAAAGCCGAGAAATGTATGGTTCACGAGAGTGAGACTCATCCTTGACATAAATCCTCTGTGACTCTACTGACGGGTCCTGTTACTGCCTAGAAGTTAAGATACTTTCAGTCTCTTGCCTTCCCTTTCCACACTGTCCCTAATATTCTGTAGTTTCCTGGAGTTCTGGACCAGGAACGCCAGGCTCTCCCTAAAATCACTAGTCCCCTGATCTCTGCCAGCATTCTCGAGCTCGTCAAACAAAGCCAGTGTCTGTCTGAGTTTGGCCTGAACAATTTTCTGTTCCTCCAGTTCTGCGAGCAGGGCCTGCTGGGCGCGTGCTTCAGTCTTGTATCTCTCCTGCAACTCTTCAATTTCTCTCTGGAGAAGCTGGAATTCTTTCTCACCACAAGGATGCATCTCCTGGGCTTTATCCTCCGGAAGCAAGACGTTTGGCGGGATACGCAAAACCAACTGTAAAAACAGCTGCTCCATTTTGCCAAAGAGGCTGTCAAATCGTCCTTTCATGAAGCCAAGAAACTTCTCCGTGCATTTACGAATCTGGACGGGGCTGATCTCACAGCCCGGGATGCCGTCCATCTTCTTCAGGATGACCTGCTCCACGGCCTGCGTCACCTCGAACAGGTAGTCCTGAAACGCGATGTAGATCCTAAGCATGCACGTCTGCGGCGTAAACCCAAAGAACTGGGCCTCGTAGGCCATTGGATCCACAGACATCTTGGCTACTTCTGCTGTGTTAATTTCCACGGTGGGAAATCTGCAAATGTCAACAGGAGAAAATCCATTTGGATAAGCAATCATCTGATGAAAGGAGCAGAGTGTATGACAGACAGCGGTGAGCAAGCAAGCAAAAGGAAGAAGCCGACACAACCTAAGGAGTCTGTGCGCCCTGATGCGGCCTGCTCATCCTCGACAGGATACAAACCTGGCCTCCCGGAGGCTCTCCCCCCCCCCCCCCCCCACCCCCGCCTCATTATCCAGGGCTCTGGGCTGGGGCTCAGTCTCCTGAACTGTTGCCATCCTGGGCGACATTCACATTTGGACGGATGACCTAAGATTCCGTTTCTTGGGTTTTGATGGTTTTCGTCCCTTTTCTCACCTGGCCGCTGCTATTGGTAACCCCTCCCCAGCTGCTCCCACATACTGACCATGACCTCATGTGCCATTCTCCAACTCCTCTCTTCCCGTAATCAAATTACACCACAGCCTTCAAGGCCCTCAGTGCTGAGATCCGCTTCCTTGCTCGGTCCACCCACTGCACTTAGGCTCTGCCACCCAGCACTCCAACCACACCCCTGCCGATGTCCTCAACCTCCCCCCGCCCCGCACCCGCCGTCCTACGAACCCAGCCATCTGAAAGCCCCAGCTGCCGCTGACTGAGCCTCCTGTCAACTTTACAACCACGACCTGATTTTTCAAGGGTCTGGGGGTCATTCCTTTCGAGTGTAAACATCTAGGAAAAGAGCACTCAGACCCTCTCCCCCCGCCCCAGCACTGCGGGGATTTAACCAAGGCACCCTTTTCCAAGCTGTACAATACGCTTATTCTAGAAACGGGAGCGGCCTCATCATTCCTTCAGATAAAGGCAGTCAGTTCAAACAAACGGCCAGCTCAACTACCAGGTGAATGCGGGAGAACCTTCATGAAACAATTTGAAGCAAATGGTGCAGGCCACAGGCTCCTGGGTGGCTCAGTCGCTTAAGCACCCGACTTCGGATGAGGTCATGATCTCACGGCCTGTGGCTTCCAGCTCCGCGTCGGGCTCTGTGCCGACGGCTCAGAGCCTGGAGCCTGCTTGGGAT